GACTAAAAGAAGAAAATTTCTATAAAAGATGAAATTTAAAGATATCTTTTATTTTAAATATTTACCAAACCTAAAAATTTTTCTTCGCGTTTTGATAAATTTGTATCCATTTTATTAAAGTTTGTGTCATTTAATAACTGCATGTAGCAGGGATGGCTCTGGACGACGAGTCCGGGGTTGCCTCTAAATTTATTATATCCCCCTTTTATCTCTCCATATCCATATTGATCCCCAGTTCTCTTAGTATCTTTCACAAAATCTCTTAATCATTTTAAATCAGTTTTGATCTTTTATTTTTTAATCAAGTGTCCTTTGGATTCCTAAATCCAAAGGACACTTGATCGTTAACCTTTGGATTAGTAAATTTCGTTCCAAGTAAAGAAAGCTCCTTATTATAATTTATATTGGTGAATAACAGGTTGGAATTTGAGTCTCTATTACTTGTTCAATCAAAAATTATCATTCAAACAATAATTAAGAGGAAAATTAATTAGTTACATTTTTAAGCAAACTTTATTCCTTTTAGGATCAACAAACCTGGTTTTTGAGTAGTATTTGTTTTTAAATGACTGAATCGTTATTAATATTCTTTTTTATTTTTAATATGGACAAGGGTTATTATTACTAAAATCTCAGCAGACACTGCTGGCCAAACAAAAATGGTTTTCCGCTATTCAATAAACGTTTAAATAATCATTAGATAGTTTGAAAATATATATTATTATAAAATATTTTTTATGAAAGTAAAATTAACTCTTGTATTTAACTAAAACTACATAATTAAGGGTTCTTATTATTTTTTTAAATTTATTATTATTTTTAATATGCCATTAATATATTTAACTGTCCCAATTAATGAAAATGATGTAGATATAAAATTATCTCATTCTCCGTATAAATTTAATGAAAAAATGATTGGAACTAGTGAAAAACAGCTTTTAATTTACGGAGATATTTGTAAGTAAATATGAAGGGGAATTTAATAAATAAAAATAATCCATGTTATCTAAACAAATTTTTTCCGAGTTATACTCTTTTAAAGAAATTTTCAGTCAGTGTAGATAAACTTTTGCACCCCAGTGTATTTTGATTCTTTAATGAAGGTATTTATTTAATTCATAGTTTGAATTTGTAATAATTCCAAAAATTTTTATCTAATTAAAAAATCGTAGTTTTTGTTGTGTCCGCAGTTGCAGAAATAACACAAATTAAAATAAATAAACCGTCATCGGTTTGGATGGTGGCACAGTCAGTTGCGCATCGGTCTGGGCTCATTCCATGATAGTTCAATTCCATCTTCCATCCAATGAATTTTTCCACAGCATGAACACGTATATAATATTCTAACTTCCAGACCACACATTTCATTAAATCTGTTGTTTTAAGTAAATTTAAAGATACAAAAAATGTCACAATGTTTTCGTCTTCAAGCGTTGCAATAATCTCAAACAAATAAGCAAACATAAATGTTTAGGTTTATTTTTACTAAATATTAATATTTGATAAAATTAATGCTAATTACATCAGAAAATGAATTTAAAATTTAAAATAATTCTTTAATCATAATCAGATTGGAGAGGCTTTTGAAATTTTAAGACAGGGCTTCGATCTCGAATTTTTAAAAATCCGCAATTTTGATCGAAAAAATCCGCATTTGACATGAAAAATCCGCAAAAAATATCAAACACAAAAGTTGAATTAAAATCACATACGTTATATTTTTTGACTCCAACAATTGAATTGAGCAATTTTTTCCTACTAATAACTATTTTATTAAAATCCGAACAATTATAGGAAAAATTATGTTGACTTGAGCCAGGCCCGTAGCCAGGATTTTTTTCGGGGGATGGGGGGCCAAGGGGGGAAACTTTTCTATGCCAAATTTTTGGCGCCTTCAACGCCAAAAATTTTTATTTTCAGCGCCGCGGGCGAAAATTTTGAGAATTTTAGATGGCTGTAGGCCAAAAAAATTAACTTTTTAGCGCCGCAGGCGAAATTTTTTTAAATTTCTCAAGAAACTAGATTTCATACATTTTCAGCGCCGCAGGCAAAAATTTTGCGGATTTTGGAATGCCAAGAAGCCAAAAATGGCTTTTTTTCAGCCCCGCAGGCGAAAATTTTGCGGATTTTGGAAGGCCATGAAGACAAAAAATGACATTTTATCCTAAAAACTACAAGAAAATACAAAAAATCCTCATAATCTTCAAAAGACCACAAAAATCCGCAAATCCGCATTTTTAAAAATAATCCTCATCGCCCTATCAAAAAACCACAAAATGAGGAAAAATCCGCAGAAATCGAAGCCCTGTTTTAAGAATATAGAAAAATTGTTTAAACAAATGAAAGGAGGAACAAATATTATTTTTAGGTTTATAAATTTAATTAAAAATAAATTAATTTTTATTATTTTTTAAAATGTTTTAAATAAAAAAACATTTTTTGTCAATTTAAATGTTGCTACACGTTTCAATTGATTTCTATAGGCTATAATGTTTTCCTCTGCTTCTCCATCAATATTCATTAATGAATTCCTTAGTACCTAGCTAAAGAAATTAAACAATAGAAAAATTTTTTATTGAATTTTAAAAATCTATATTTTAACTTCACGTTCATTGGCTCTCTTAATTTAATTCTCGCTCTTCACTTTTTATTAAAGCAGTCTTCATTTTGCGCTCCCCCTTAAAATTTTTATATAAAAATTTTTTAACTCAACAAAAGGAATAATAAAAATAAAAATTTTAATAAATATATTATAATAATATACTATATACAGTAAAAACTTTAGTTAATATAGGTAAATTAAAGAAAAAGTAAATTTTCACTACTAAAAGACTCCCACGTTTTCGCAATCTCCGTATTATTTCCCGACCGGGCAAACCAGAAAAATCCTAACGGATGCAGATTTACCTATATATTGAATTTATTTCAACAATATATATTTTATAAATATCATATAATATAATAATAAAAAAAATAAAAATTGCATCTAGCAATACATGGAGATCGGCCAGACGGCAAAATCAAATATTTTATCAAATAATTTGATAATTATCTGGTATTTGAAAAAATTTGATCAAAAAAGTTTTGATCAAATATCAATTTTTTAAATTTTGTAACACATATAAATCGGGGTTTTATAATCGGGGTATTAGATTTGGAAACGATATTGGAGGATTAAGATGGATGTGGAGGAATTAAGTCTGATATAAGAGGTTTTGAGCGATTAAGTGAATATAATGGGATTTGGAGATATAAGGTGATATTGTGATACATTTAATCCATGTATATCCCTCTTATTCAATCGATATCCTTCCAAATCCCACTACCGTATTTCACTAAAATAACCCCACTTTAAAATAGCCCCCCTCCTCTAGAGGTCGATTGAAAAAACACCCCACCCCTATAAAATATTCCCCCCTCCCTAAAATATTTAATTGTTCTTGGCATTGTTTTTTTTCAAAGCACTGTTTAAAAACTATATTCCAATAAGATTAGAAATGCTTATGGATATATCGGGGATTTGGAGGGATATAAGAGGATTCTGTTGGATTAAATGAGCCCCAAATCCAGGGAGTATTTACCCAAATCCTTTTTTAGCCCCAAATCCATTGTATCCCCCTAATTCACTACAATTCCTCTTAAGCCTCCCAAATCATCAAAATGATCTACCTCTAATTCCTCCACATATACTACGAAGATTACTCAATCGTCGCGGACTCAACTGAACTGTTCCGATAACGATAAATAATAAATTATATACTATAGCAAAAATCTTGGTTATCCATATCGAAATTTTAAGAAAAATAGAAAAAGTCAAAAATGGACAAAAAACATAATCTGGTACGTTTCCGTTATACGGAGTGTCAGCCGATCTTTGATCGACTATAACCTTTTTGGGCTTGATCCAATTCAAATGAAACTTATATCGTTCAAAAGCCCTTGATAAACGGTATTTTTTCTAAAAGGATGGATCATCACTCAGTAAAAAGTTCTGATCCGATAAATCAAGTTATTTGGTGTTTTTCGCATTTATCGGATCAGAACTTTTTAATGAGTGATCAGACTTGATCCATCCTTTTAAAAAAAGATACCGTTTATCATAGGCTTTTGAATTATTTAAGATTTATTTGAATCGGAGAATGCCCAGAGAAGGTATAGCTAATCGAAGACCGGCTGACACTCAGTTTGCGGTCGTTAACGGAAAAGTACCCATAATCTATCTGAACCTATTTTATTTTTGTTTAATATTTAATTAACTGATTACTGATTATTTTTCAAGATAAGTAATGAACTTATTGAAATTATATTTATTCCTCCCATTAATTCTGATATTGTCACAAATCCAAGGTAGATTCATCTTTTACATAATTTCATATTTGTAAATAAATTAAAGGAATATTTGCCAAATGTAAACCTTTATTTGGATTAATTTCTGTAAAGTGTTGTCAATGTGGAGAATATAAACTCATCAATTTAACAAACTCTATGACAATAGATCAAGGAATTCATTTGAAATATAAAATGGATTTTAAATCAAAACTTGGAGCTGGTACATTTGGAAATGTAAAAGAATCTTAATTTAATAATCTCCAGATTTTTATAATAAAATATCCCAATTTCAAATATTAGATTAATCTTTTAATGAATTAGCTTGTAAAATTTTAATAACGTCCATGATATTTTGATAATGTATGTTTAAAATGTTTTACTTTAAAGGTATATCACGCATATTGGAAAGAAAAAAAGCAGTGTGTTGCGTTGAAAATGCTTCAGAAAAATGAAAATAATTTTTCTGAAGTAGAAAATGAGATTAAAGTTCATGAATATTTTTCTAAATTGGCAGAAGAAGAAAGAACTTGCATTATTAAAATGATAGGATTGTAAGTTCGAAACGTACCTACAATTGGCGAGGGGAATAATAGGTCCCCGTGCCAAATATGTAGGTACGTTTCGAGCATATTTTTTAAGTAAGAATGGACAGATAAAAACAAAAACCCCAGTGAATATTGTTTTGGAACTTGGTGGACTGAATTTATTAGCTTATTTTAGACAAAAAGTCGAAGAAGATTATAGTTATAAAAAGAGTATACATGAAGGAATTATAAAAAATATGCTTAAATGTGCTGCACTCGCAATTAAACAATTTCATAAACGTTGGTATTTTATTGAAATATTCGTAGTATGGAAGGGTAAACCCGAAAAATGAAATGCTCATACTTTTCTCATTGTGTATATTCCTTTTAATTTTGTAGATTTATTCAAGTAATAATTTTCAAACAATTTTAAAACAATATATTAATTGTCTAAAAATTTAGATGGCATTCATTTGGATATTAAGCCAAACAATTTTGTTATACCTCATGGACATAATCTTGATGTTCCTTTGAAATTATGCAAATTGATAGATTTTAATTTTTCTATTATAACAACTGAAGATAAAGTTATAAAGCAAGGAGTATTTGGTACCACACCATATGTACCTTTCGACTTTTCTGTAGAGCGTGTGTTTGAAGTAAATGTGTTTTAAATTAATTTTTATATTAAATAATTATATAAAAACATTTATTTTTATTTGTTGTTATAAGTAAATCAACTGAAATATAATTAAAAAAACAAACCCTAACTTAGCTGAATACTTTTAGTAATTGAAATTTTCAAACTTGTATCCAAAACATGAAACTATAATTTATCTAATTTTCATAAAATTTAAATTTAAAATTCAATATTTTAGGTTTCCCGTGAAATTGACATTTATTCATTCGGTGTAATGATTTACAAGTTTATGTTTAGCCCTAGGAATAGAATAGACGAAATAGAAAAGAAAAAGTTTGGCCACGGAAGTTTGGATAGACTTGCAAAGGTATTTTTATTTTCTATATCTGTAATTTATTAATAAAGACAATTTATTTAAATCTATTAATTACAAAACAATATAACTTATTTCAATAATTTTTGAAAATTAAATTCTGAACTAAAGAAAATTAGGAAAAAAAATTATGATTTTGTTATATACTTAATTGTAGTTTTAAAATTTAAAATATTTTATTATTCTTCACCTAAAAATAGTAAATTTTTGAAGAATATATATTTTCTAATTTAAAAAAATGTAGAATTTCTAATTCCTCAAATTTTCAAACAAAAAACAATTTAAAATTTAAGGCTTGTTTTCAAAGTAATGCTAAGAATCGTCCTAGTATTAAGGCCATTGTAAGTTTCCTAGAAGAAAAATGTCAGTACTTTAGTTATGAGGAAGAAATGCCACACACGAAATATGAAAAATTGTGTCAAGATTGAAAAGAAAAGAAAATTTTTTATAAAAGATAAAATTTAACGATATCTTTTATTTGTTTTTTTTATTTAAAATTGAAAATTTTTCTACACGATTTGATAAAGTTTGAGCCATTTTATTAAAAGGATAACAGATTGTATCATTGTAATATAGGCTTTACTGTATGTAGCAGGATGGCTCTGGTTTACGATTACGGGGTTGCTCTAAATCTGCCCCTATTTATCCCCTGATTTCATAATAATATCTCACCTCTCTCGGTATTTTAGACGAATCCTCTTAATCCATCAATACTCGTTTTGATTTTTTATTTTAAAACCCAAATTTGTTGACTTTAAAATGACTTAAGTTTGATAAAAAAATTTTAAGTATAAATTTTGATCGAATAATTAAACAAGGATTTATGTCGGTTTATATTCTATGTATGTTGGTTCCAATAAAAGAAAACTATAATTTAAATATATTAGTGAATAACAAGTTCGGATTAAAGTCTCGTTTAATTATTCGATATAAAATTATTACTCAAAAATCATTTCTTTGCCGACTTTAGTCCTTTTAAAACCAACAAGCCTGGTTTTTGAAGTAATAGTAGTATTCGTTTTAATCGTTATTAATATTCTTTATTATTTTTAATATGGACAATGGACTATATCTCAGTCAGCAGACGCTGCTGATTAAACAAAAAGGATTTTCCGCTATTATATTACCGTTTAAATAATCATTAGATTGTTAAAAATTACCTATTATAAAATATTATTTGAGAAAGTAAAAGCAAGCTTAAATCAAGATTTGAAGGCTTTTAAATTTGTCCCTAATTTTTCCAAAAAATTATTTCTTTCCCTTCATTTCGATTCATTTACAATATTGTATGTTAAGCATGAAAACTAGCCATAAACAAATAAAAATAATTATTATAATATTAATTAATATGCCACTAATATATTTAACTGCCCCAATTAATGAAAATGATGTAGATATAAAATTATCTCATTCTCCTTATAAATTTAATGAAAAAATGGTTGGAACTAGTGAAAAACAGCTTTTAATTTACGGAGATATTTGTAAGTAAATATAAGGGAGAAATTTAATTAGGTATATTTAAGTACTTTCCCCCAAACAATTAAAAATGCGTAGACTTCTTCCTCCAAACATTATTGAAAGTTTGTCAAAAGAAAATAAAATAAAGGAACAAGAAAAATTAGAAGATAAAGAAATTGAAGAGGAAACAGATGAACAATTACAGCAAATACCTACAAGACATATTGCAATAAAACAAAGGCATAATAATCGTTGGATTGACAATGAAATACCTTTTTTATTTTCACCTAAATTCTCTGAAAGACAGTTAAGTATAGTGGAAGTTTTTTTAAATTAAACTTTAATTAATTAAAGCAGCTGGGCTGTAGCTATTTCTCTCCTTTAGCTAGTGCAAAAAGTTAATCGGCGGCTGGGAGCGAACCAGCATCTTCAGTAGACCGACTAATGTGTTAGCCATTACACCACGCCGCCTTCTGCACGGCCTTAGGAATTAAATAGCTATATGCTTTACATTTACATATAATTATTAATTTATGCATGAGCTTTGTTTAACTCTCAATTAAAATTATAAAAAATAATTCTTTTAGAAAAGAAGCTATTCGCGAATCTCTTGCTGTTATAGAGGCAAACAGCTGTTTCCGTTTTATACCTCGAGATAATCAAAAAGACTTTATTTATTTTGATATGCGTGAAGTAAATATATAAATTTTTTTAATTTAAAAAAATCTTGAAGGGTTGTTTTTCTTTTGTTGGTAAAGTTGGTGGACGTCAATTACTTTCATTAGCAGCTGGATGCCTTAATGATTATATTATTTGGTATTTTTAAAAATATTTTTATTTAAATAATTTTATTAAAGGCATGAAGTTATGCATGCATTAGGTAAGTAAATTTAACTTTAATATTCGTTAATTAATAGTTTAGCAAAAGCTAGGCCCAAGACAAGAATCAAATTTTTTCTCCTTATAAATTTCTAAGCCCCTTAAGTTCTAAATGCTATCAGATGAATGTGGATTCTATTAGAATTTAATAAAATATTTAATTTATTTTATTTACCTATATATTTATTCAAAACTTCTATTGTAAGAACATAAAGATATATCACTAACAAGAAGCTACTCAATACATATAAATAATTTTAGTTTAGAAATTGTTTTTAATTTTAATTATTTTAATAGGTTTAGAGCATGAACATCAAAGACCAGACCGTGATCGATATATTGAAATACAATGGAAAAACGTTGAGCCTGGGAAAGAAAGTTAGAATATTAATGGGAAATTATATTAAATTTTACGGAAATGTATAAATAAAAAATTAAAAGCTCCACTCAATATAATAAAAAAATAAAATACAATTAAAATTCCCCTTTTTTTCAGTTAATTTTGACAAAATAAAATTAACTGATGTTGATATTTACCACACTTATGATTACCATTCTCTTATGCATTATGACGGCACTGCTTTTGGAAGAGTTGATAAACGAAGCAGAAAGCCAATGATGACAATGAAGCCTAAAAGGGTTTGGAAAATTTTGAGGAAATTTAAAAAATTTTTAATTAGGAGGGAATTGTCTTACGTGACAATTTAGAATTAACAGATCTCGATATTGAAAAACTACAAATACTTAGTGGTTGTGATTCAACAAAAAGTTGAGTGAATTATTTTTTGATAAACAAATTTATTTTTTATTTATTAAAAAAAGCTTTCAAAATCTGCTTTAAAATTTTTTAATTTTATAAAATAATTAGAAATTTTATTTTCAGAACGAAAATTTCGCCCAAAAGTTGGTGCAGTTGATTCTAAAGATTTGGGTAATTCATGCGGCGACCGTTCATTAAATTGCCAATCTTTGGCTCAAAGAGGGTTTTGTGCAGAAATACGTTACCAAAGGCTTATTAAAATTCAATGTCAACAAACTTGTGGATTTTGTACTTCGATTTTATTATCTGAAACAAATCAACAAATAGAAATAAATGGGGAGGAGGTTTAAAATACATATAATTTAAAAAAATCAACTAATACATAACTAAATTACAGAAAGAAAATTCAAGTACTACAAATGCCGAAATTTTGCCTTCAACCAATCCAAATCAAAAACAAAAAGATAATAATAATGTAGATCCTCACTATACACGTTGGAGTTTTCCGGAAGAAAGAAAGAAAAAATTAAAAAGAAAAACTTGAAATTAAATAGTATACTATTATAAATTTTGATTAGTATTTTTCCTTTTCTGGGAGAATTGAAAAAAAAATTTACAAAAAAATTCAATGCCAAATACATAAGATATATTTAAATAATAAAAAAATGATAATCTTATTTTATGGTAATGCCAATTCCGTTAAAATAATTCTAGCATTATTCGTTATATTTAGGAAATCAATCTCTAAATTTACAAAGCCTTAGTGTATTAGCCTTAGTAATAAGTTTTAGGAAGCAAATATGACTTTTCAAAACAAAATATTTTTATACTTTTATTTTACTTTAATAGATAAAATAAAAATTGACTTAAATTTGTCTTCTTTCTTGACCTCACTTCCTTTCTCATTAATATTTCAAGATAATAACGTAAGTATAATTGTCATGATAATAGCCTGTTAATTAAAAATTATTTTGAATTTTAGTTATTCTTTGAAATCTTAGAAAATTACATCCGTGTCGGCTGGTTGGCGAAAAAATATCGCCAGTTGCAGAGGACTGCCAATGTAGACCTTGAGTTTGACCAGTAATTATTGCCTTTAAAAATATTTTTCCAAGCAATTAAAAATTTCAAAATTATTTTTCTTATAGAAACTTACCGCATGCACAAACCAATAGCCTGAATAACGCGCAGATTTGATCTAAGATATAAACAAAATATTTTAAAATGTAAATTAGATTAATTATGATTACATAAAAAATACTGATATAAAAATACTAGGTTTGTATTTTAGTCGGAACTCTGATTCACTTCATAAAGAATTCGCTACTAAAGGGGTGTTATGATAATTGCGGATAAACAATTGTCGTACCACCATAAACTGATAACATTATATAAATTTCGAAGAAATGCTTTAAACTTTAATGCAACAAAATGATGAAACACTTGCCCTGATCGGTTACAAATCAGGTATTCGGAAATAAACTTATACCGTTATCAGCGAGGAATAAAAGAACGAATATTCAAAAATACGTAAAACAATCCAACCTTAAACTATGTAATTAATTTACCCGATCTAAAATATAATTAGAAAGCTGTCCCATATTTTGAGGATAATAATAAAGTCCATTATTAATATATGTAGCTAAATTGTTATCATAACAATATGCACCATTAACTATATTTTCTGAAGCTTTTTTAGATTTTTGTAATATTAATTCCTTTCCAGCATTTTCATTTTCCTCATTTTTCAGAGAAAATTCTGGTCTATCATTATCCTTTATAGGAATGGCAAAAGTAGTTGAATAAATTGTAAAAGCAATAAATAAAAAGCAAATGAAAGACTTCATTTTTATTTAAAATTATTTAAATTCTAAAATAAATTTCTTTAACTAAAAAATAATTCAAAAAAATTTAAAATTTTAAAAGAAAT